TTAGATCTCACCCGTTTTCTCACCTCATTTCTACCCCAGTTATTTTATAAACGTTTTACATGGTAAACGTTATTTTTTAAATTTTGTGAAAACTCAACGGTTTGACACATGCCCTAAAAATTATTTTACTCAGAATTTTGTGCTGAATTCAGCAAAAATAATGTTTAGGTGAAGAGGTGAGATCTCACCCGTTTTCTCACCTGTTTTTTCATGAGCGTTTTACATGAATTGTACGATGTATATTTGAAATCTTAAACAGTTTCGTAGCTTCTATTTCTTCTTTTAGTACATCGAATGTTTTAACGATACCGAAAGTTTCTTTATACTTCTTCTTGACGTCAGATAGAAGGAAATCTTCTGCTGTTGGATAGTTTTTGTTCAGAAATTCTAACATGTCCATTTTATTTTCTGCTGGCTTTTCTGCTTCTTTCTTTAAGTCTGCATAGTCGTTTCTCATACGTTCTATCTCTTTGACGGAGTAGTTATATTTCCTCATTGCTGCTTTACATTTAGAACATTGCGGGTTCATTTTTGCGTTATATTCTGAAACCTTACCTGCTAAAACAACTAAAGCGTCAATGGTTTTCTTCATCTCAAACATAGCGGGTCTTATTTGTTCATTCCATACCTTACCTCTTCTATCTTTATCTCTTATCTGCCATACACATTCAGCAACTAACGAAACAAAGTTGTCGTAGGTCTTAAATTCTTCAGATTTATATATGTCAGAAACATTCTTATATACCATGTCGCAATCTTTGTCCATAACCTTATGGTTGCAATGAAAACCAAGGAATTCATAATTTACCTTTCGTATGAACTTCTTTATTTCTACTGAGTCAGTTGCTTTGACTTCTATTTCATCGAATTCAGGAATAGTGAGTTTTTGTTGCTGAATTTCAGGTAGTTTAGGTAAATGGTCAATAATGTCCTGCATTTCATAAAGATACTGTTCATTTTCTTCATCTTTCGCACTACAGTCTAAATTACATGTTAAAAGTTCCTGCTTTATCTTCTGGATTTTTGTTTCGAAAGTATATGAAGAAGGAATGAAGCTTTTCATCTCTACTAACATAGATGTTGGATTCATAACTAACGAGTTTGGTGCTGTTGTTGTTTGAATTGTTGTTGTGCCGATTGTTGAAATCATATCTTTTATACAAAATAAAAAAAAATAAAAAAATAAAACTAACTTTATTTTTTATTTCGGGAAAATTCATGAAAATTCAAGAGGGTAGAAAAGAGGTTAGAAAAGAGGTTAGATCTAACCTCTTCACCTAAACATTATTTTTGGGTCCTTTACACTCATTACGTTCATGTTTTGACAAAACATTTACGAAGAAATCATGAAAATTCAAGAGGTGAGAAAAGAGGTGAAAAAAGAGGTGAGATCTCACCACTTCACCTAAAATATATTTTTGTCTGATTTACGCTCATTACGAAGAAGTCTTGACAAAACATTTACGAAGAAGTCTTGACAAAACATGTACGAAGAAATCATGAAAATTCAAGAGGTGAAAAAACAGGTGAGATCTCACCTCTTCACCTAAATTATATTTTTCAATACTTTTTCAGCACTTTTCCGTAGTTATATATGAAAGACAATTCGAGATAAAAGTCATAGTACAATGGAATAATATGTTGCACACCATTTGTTGTGAACCAAACTTGAAAGTCAGAGAAACTGTTACTAGGTGGTTCGTAGAATTTAGAAGCAAAGTCATAAAAGTCCTTACCAATACATAGAAAACTATTGTTGCTTGAACTGAAACTTGCATGACACATAACATTTTGAGGGTCAAACACGTTTCTATAAACTGTCAAATCTGCTGGTGGAAGTATAAATTGAAATGGACCATCTGGTGGTAATGGTTCGTTCTGGTTTAGTAACCGAAGAAATTGTGCCCAAGAACGTTTGTCTACTTTCCAAAATAAAAACTCTGTATCTCTTGGAGGGTTAATTTCAATCTTTTGAAATGAAACGGTGGAGTTCATCTTGTCATATTCTAGTTTCAGATAGTATGTTCCATTTAGTAAAGAGTCGTATTTTTCTTGAAATTCCCAATAATATTTGTTCATTTGAGTTTGAAAGTCATTTAGAGTTTTCTCAAGACTTTCGTCTGAACGAACTGTAAAGATTCTCATTTCGTCAAATTTGTCTATTAGACCACCAGAACCTTTATACTGCCCATGAAAATATACTGCGAACATAAATGCGTTAGTTCTATTTGAAAACAAAACTCTTCTAAATCCTATTGCCTTTGCATCTGAAGGACTTTGAAGCCAACGAATTGGATAGTCAAACCTGTATATTCGGGATGAAATTTCTTCATCTGAAATAGTCCTACCAGCATTTGTAAAGATATAGTCTAACGGTTTTGTATCTGCTACTTTTGTTCTTTGTTTTTCAACCTGAAGCATTTAATATATGTAAAAATATATTGTTTTAAAATAGTATGCCATTTCATATTTCTCATCTAACAAACAAGTTTCCCAACGGTCTTCTCCAACAAACTCAGCGTACATTTCAAATAAAATTAAAAAATGTCACTTTTTTAAAAATAAATTTTTATTTCATGCAATGTTTTATTTCTGTGCCGTCTTCAAGTATGCCCCAGTACTTACGCTTGGAGAGGACATGAACTTCGGAAAATACCTTATCTAGCTTAAAACAGCCCATCTTCTCACCGACTAAACCCATTTCAATGAGTTTGTTATAGCCTTCTTCGTTCGTCATGAGTGCGTCAATGTTCTCATAGTAAACCACAACTTTCGATTTGACTTCGGAGAAGAATTTGTTGTAGTTGTCAAGGACTGCTTTTGCGAACTGAGGGTAAGACCAATGTTCGACAATAGGTTTTAATGTGGTTACTAAGCCACTTTGACCTTGAGTGAATTCGTACTTCAAAACAAAAGGAGAAAACCTTTCAACAAAGTTGTCGACCTTCTCATAATGTTTACTCTTCATCTCTTGAGGTTTCTTAATGGAATATCCCCATGTCGAATTCATAAGCAATTTGAGTGTCATTGCAAGTTTGGGTTTGAAGCTTTCCTAATATCATACAGTTGTTGTATGACTTTTCCAACTGTATAGTTCCTTCCCGGGAACTCACCATCTTCGTTTGGAATTCCAGTCGGAATATATTGGACAAACCTCATGTATGCAGCGTTAAGGTCGACATAGTATATCTTTTCGTTTGAGTCGAACTTGTCGCAACCAATTGGTCCAGTTTGTGGAAATTCAAGTGAGTCTCTTATCTTCTGAGAAACTTCTCCTGTTATCTCATAAACATCGTCGAAGCAACCTGTTTCATATAAAACCTTCTGACCTAACTCAGAAGCTCTCCAATACAATTTGACGTCAATTGGATGTCTCAATGGAAGTTTGTTTATAGCATCTTGAAGTTCTTGCAACCTCATTGGAAGTTCTTCTGGTTCAGGTTGGTATCCGAACAATCCAACTCCTTGTGGAATTGTGTACTTCTTTTGTACTAGAACTTTGTCTGGAACAACTTTTGGTCTTGCTAACAGTGAAAAGTTTGTTTCGTCTTTTGGTACAAAAGTTTCTGTCAGCTTGTCATCTGGAATTGGTTCCAACAAACCTTTCTCGAAAAGAATGTTTACAGCTCTGACAATGTTGCACTTGCCTTTTCCGAACAATGGGTTTGTAAGACTTTCGTTCAACATGAAGTGGTTGTGGACAATTGCAATCTTCAACCATGGTAAATTGAACTCAACAACATAGTCGTCATGTGAAGAACCTTTAGCTGTAGTTATGTTGACTCGGATATTGACATTTGCCAACGGTGCAATTTTTGCCAATTGACCTCTGAGAATGTACCTTGTCTTCACACATGACTCAAGATACTTCATCTTCTCTTCTGTAACAAGACCAGAGTTCCTGAGACATGTAAGAATGCAAGGTTCATTGACAATTGTTTCAATTGAATTGTAAATTCCATACCTTGTCAAGTCAATGTCAGACTTATTTATGAACGGAAAGTATCCAGCATGTTGTCTGACTGCTTGAGGGTTAGGTTGGTACCATTCGAACTTGACACTTGCAATTCCTTCAATTGCATTCAAAATGTCTGAGTCGGAGTCAAACATTTGTTCTCTCTTTGTAGTCTTGAAAGCGTCAAGAAGTTTTGCAGCTGTTTGTTCATTGCCATTTGCATAGTAAATGTGACCATCCAAATCCGTTATAGTCAATCTGAGATTGTGTCCTTTCTTATTTCCGTCTTGAATTGCAGCAAGTACACCCATGAAGCCTTCTTTGTTCTTTCCTTCGTCAAAGTTTACTGTAAAGGTTCGACCAGAAGTAATTTGACTTCTAACTTCACGGTACTTTTCATATGCATATCTTGTTCTTTCCATGGGAGCATGTGTGTCTTCACCTTTTCCTTTTTTCCTTCTCAAAGGATGCAATTGTTCGTCATGTTTCCAGTAGAATCTGGCAAAGCCGTCGTGTCCTTCAACTTGAGGTTCACTAACATCGAAAGGCATGTCCATAAGACGTTCTTCTTCTAACCTCTCTAGTCTGTTTGGATAATTGGCACGTGCTGTTTCCAAATCCATTTCGTAGCGAAGACCAGCCAGTTTGTCATAGACTTTTATGGGTCTTCCCTTCCTATATTTAAAATTCTTCGAAACTCTCCAACCATATCTTTGTAACTCTGCTTTTATTCTAGCAGACTTTCTATCCATTCTATATGGGGGCATTTTTATAAAAATAAAAAAAATATTTTTTTCTTTACTTTACATAACCGCCTGCTGCCATAAGTCTTTGACGCCAACCCATACCAGCTAATGAAGGTTGACTTGGTTTAGTTTGGAAACTAACTTTGGTTTTTGGTTTATCTTCAGTTTTTTGGTTTCTCTTCTTCTATCGGTTTTTCGTCACTTTTCGGTTCCTTTGACTTTACCTCACCTGCAGGAACAGTTGTGTCGTCAACATCTTCATAAATATCATATGCCATTTGTTTTTGTTTTCCTTTCAACTTTTTGTGTTTGTTGTAAAGTTTAGAATATTTCGACTCTAAGTCAATGAGATGTTCTATAATGAACTGTTGGTCAGTGAAGTAAACTTTTCCATCTGTTGTCTCGAAAGCTCCTTCAGACTTCAATATTTTATTTGTGAGAGTCTGTTTCTTTTTTGAGATACTAGCCGTTCCATTTCTATGAAAAGTGACTTTATAGTTAGGGTTTGTATTTCCAGACCTGGCACTTTCTATTATTGAATTTTTCTCTTCATCTGTAAGTTCTTTGACGGGTTTTGACAATGGTTCTGAACTTTTTGTTTGTGGTGTCAAATCTACCGTTTCAACTTCTTCGGTCATTTCATCTCAGTAAAAATTTTAGTTTGGTTTGTTTTCAACTGGTTGTTGTTGTTTTTTAAGTCGGTCTAAAACTTCCTGAGGTATAGGAAGAACTTGACAAACACGTTGTGTAACTGCTGGAAGTCGACAAATCCATCTTGAACCCATTTGTCTCAATGCTGTATTGTTCATTTCATCTCAGTAAAAAACTTTACATTCCCCACGTTTGAGGTGGTTGCGGTTGGTTATTGTTTACCATTGTTGTGCATGGTTATATCCTCTGTTAAAGAATCTTTCACCTTGGTCCATATAGTGTCCTGCTTGGTTATAGTAGTCATTTGCTTTGTTATAATAGTTTCCTGCTTGTCTTCCTACATTGTCCATCCATCCTTGAACTTTTCCTCTTGTTTCAGGATTTGGAATAAGATTTGTTGCATCTCGTGCTACATCCCAACCTTTCTGTACAGTTTGTATAATAGGTTGTGCTTTCTCTTTAAGTATACCTAATGTACTCAAAAATCTTCCTTCCAACTCCAAATACACCTCTGGCTATTGTTCCCACTGCGGGCAAAAATCTGGATGCAACTCCTGCTAATGCGCCAAATAAACCCATTTCTTATGGGTTAAAAAATGACGAATCCAAACAAGGACCCCTATGTTTCTAAAGCGACAAAGAAAGCACTCATGGTAAAAATCTTTAGTTCAACACCAAATGCTTGGTTTATGGATATCTTGGAAAACATTCCGAGAGTTAGAACAGATGGACCACCATACTGGCTAATATTTGTCGGTCAAAACACAAGATACTGTGAAGCCATACCATTATGGTCCAAAAATATTTTAGATGTGAAAAACTGCTTTGACAATATTCGTTGACAAATACCATCCAACAAAAACTGACATCTGACTGTGAAAGTTCTTTCAAATCAGATGATATTAAAAACTATCTGCGTTCAAAAACTGTAAACCAATATTTCATTGTCGACCAAAACCATTCTGCTCTTTGGTGTCATTGACGGTTGTATAAAAATGTTAAGAGACTTAAACCAACCACAAGGTGGTGAAGCAATGAAATGTCATATGACGACAAATATAGACACTTCTCCATGGCAAAGATGAGACAAGTTTTAAATATTTACAATAGCCGTAAACAAAAAGGTTTGGGAAACCACTCCCCGAAGAAATGAAAAACACCCTGACTTAGAGAAAGACTATATATTTAATAATTTAGTCAAAAGAGACAAACAAGAAAGAATGCCGGGCTTCAAACTTCAGAAAGGTGACAAAGTAAAAATAGAAATACCTAAACGCGACCCATATGAAAATACTATTGACTATGACAACAATGGGAACCCGACAGGTACTCACATTCGTGTTCGTAAAAATAGAAGAAAGTATACAAGAGAATATTATGAAGTTTTAGGCAAACATGGCAAAATGTACAGACTGCAAGCAGAAGATAAAACTACTATTGTCAGACCTCGTTTCAAACTTGTCAAAGTTCAAGGTGGTATACTTTCAAAGACAGTTCCTAACAAATATAAGACAACTCCTGACGAATATGCTAAAGAAGTTGAAAATGACGACTAAGCAATTCTATACCATGCGTAAAACTGTCATGTAAGGTGGCATGTAGTCTTTACTTTGTCCGTTGTTTGCGTATATCCCGAAACGCGATGTGTATGGTTTCCTCCTCCCTCAGTGTTACTCCAGTAACAATCTATAGCAAACTTAACGTTGTCTTTAAATCATATCCTTTACCTTTTGTCATTGCTGACCAATCCCAATATCTATGCTTATGCCAACCTGCTTGAGATGTACTTAAATCTATGTAGTGACTATGTGCAGGTAAAATTTTCACCTGAAATCGTTTTACTTCCACCTGTTTCTTTGAAGAGTTTGCACAATACAAAACCTGTCGACTATTTGTTCCATGCACCAACACCAAACATTACTTGAGGACCTCTTGCTTCCATAGATGTATAAATAGAACCTACTGGGTTCATTAAATCAAACATATGAGACATTATAGGATTGTCTCTTTTGAACTTAAAATATAGTGCAATATTTCAGGTTTCTTCTGGTTTGTGTCAGAATATTTTTTATAATATAATCTTATGTTTTCAGGGTATGTAAATCTTGCTATAATATTTATTTCTGTCATCTTCATAATAGTATACTATTCTCGTTTTTTCATATTGCATTATATCTTTTTATCTATAATATTCTAAATATAAGAGAGATAAATATTTGAATGTCTGAAGGAGTTTCGAGACAAAAGATGGAAAAGTTTACTTCACTGACCAACGTTCATTATAGAACATCTCATTGACTTAGAGTCGAAATATTCTAAACTTTACAACAAACACAAAAAGTTGAAAGGAAAAAAAAACAATGGATATGATATTTATGAAGATGTTTGACAGACACAACTGTTCTGCAGTGAGTAAAGTCAAAGGAACCGAAAAGTGACGAAAAACCGATAGAAGAAGAGAAACCAAAACTGAAGATAAACCAAACCAAAGTTTAGTTGGAAACTAAACCAAGTCAACCTTCATTAGCTGGTATGGTTGGCGTCAAAGACTTATGGGCAGCGGGTTATGTAAAGTAAAGAAAAAAAATATTTTTTTTTTATTTTTATAAATGCCCCCATATAGAATGGAAGAAGTCTGCTAGAATAAAAGCAGAGTTCAAAGATATGGTTGGAGAGTTTCGAAGAATTTAAATATAGGAAGGGAAGACCAATAAAAGTCTATGAACAAACTGGCTGGTCTTCGCTACGAAATGGATTTGGAAACAGCACGTGCAAATTATCCAAACAGACTAGGAGAGTTGAAGAAGAACGTCTTATGGACATGCCTTTCGATGTTAGTGAACTCAGTTGAAGGACACGACGGCTTTGCCAGATCTTACTGGAAACATGGAACAAATTGACATCTTTGAGAAGGAAAAAAGGAAAGGTGAAAGAACACATGCTCCATGGAAAAGAACAGATATGCATATGAAGTACGTGAAGTTAGAAGTAAATTACTTCTGGTCGAACCTTTACAGTAAACTTTGAGAAGGAAAGAACAAAGAAGGCTTCATGGTGTACTTGCTGCAATTCAAGAGGAAATAAGAAAGGACACAATCTCAGATTGACCTTAACGATTTGGATGGTCAATTTACTATGCAAATGGCAATGAACAAACAGCTGCAAAACTTCTTGACGCTTTCAGAACTACAGAGAGAACAAATGGTTGACTCGACTCAGACATTTTGAATGCAATTGAAGGAATTGCAAGTGTCAAGTTGAATGGTACAAACCTAACCCTCAAGCAGTCAGACAACATGCTGGATACTTCCGTTCATAATAAGTCTGACATTGACTTGACAAGGTATGGAATTTACAATTCAATTGAAACAATTGTCAATGACCTTGCATTCTCATGCTCAGGAACTCTGGTCTTGTTACAGAAGAGAAGATGAAGTATCTTGAGTCATGTGTGAAGACAAGGTACATTCTCAGAGGTCAATGGCAAAATTGCACGTGGCAAATGTCAATTCGAGTCAACATACCTACAGCTAAAGGTTCTTCAATGAGAACTATGTTGTTGAGTTAATTTACCATGTTTGAAGATTGCAATTGTCACAACCACTTCATGTTGAACGAAAGTTTAACAACCCATTGTTCGGAAAAGGCAAGTGAAATTGTCAGAGCTGTAAACATTCTTTTCGAGAAAGGTTTGTTGGAACACAATTCCAGATGAAACTGACAGAAACTTTTTGTACCAAAAGACGAAACAAACTTTTCCATGTTTAGAAGACAAAAGTTGTTCCAGACAAAGTTCTAGTACAAAAGAAGTACACAATTCCAAAAGGAGTTGGATTGTTCGGATACCACACCGAACCAGAAGAACTTCAATGAGGTTGCCAAGAACTTCAGATGCTATGAAAAAACTTCCATTGAGACATCCAATTGACGTCAAATTGTATTGGAGAGCATCTGGTTAGGTCAGAAGGTTTTATATGAAACAGGTTGCTTCGACGATGTTTATGAGATAACAGGAGAAGTTTCTCGAAGATAAGAGACTCACTTGAATTTCCACAAACTGGACCAATTGGTTGCGACAGTTCGACTCAATGAAAAGATATACTATGTCGACCTTAACGCTGCATACATGAGGTTTGTCCAATATATTCCGACTGGAATTCCAAACGAAGATGGTGAGTTCCGGGAAGGAACTATACAGTTGGAAAAGTCATACAACAACTGTATGATATTAGGAAAGCTTCAAACCAAACTTGCAATGACATTCAAATTGCTTATGAATTCGACATGGGGATATTCCATTAAGAAACCTCAAGAGATGAAGAGTAAACATTATGAGAAGGTCGACAACTTTGTTGAAAGGTTTTCTCCTTTTGTTTGAGTAGAATTCACTCAAGGTCAAAGTGGCTTAGTAACCACATTAAAACCTATTGTCGAACATTGGTCTTACCTCAGTTCGCAAGGCAGTCCTTGACAACTACAACAAATTCTTCTCCGAAGTCAAATCCAAAGTTAAGGTTTACTATGAGAACATTGACGCACTCATGACGAACGAAGAAGGGTATAACAAACTCATTGAAATGGGTTTAGTCGGTGAAAGATGGGTCAATTCAAATTGGACAAAATTTTCACCGAAGTTCATGTCCTCTCCAAGCGTAAGTACTGGGGCATACTTGAAGACGGCACAGAAATAAAACATTGCATGAAATAAAAAATTTTTATTCGAATTTGAATTAAAATGTGGGAATTCTTGGGAACGGGAAAGGCTTATTTACTTGAGGAACAGGTAAAGGTGGTGGAGGTGGAGGTGGTGGCAACCAGTCCATTTTATATTCCTTCCTAGCTAATTTCCGTTTAATTTCATGGTCGCCCTCGGAGTCTTTGAATCGGACAGGTCGAGTTACACCATTCTTGGTCTCAAACTCATATATAACCTGTTTGTCTGTATTTTCGTCGACTATGGCACGAGACACGAACATTGACCAAACGG